TTTTTGCCTAAAAAAAGTACACAAAAGAACCAATAGGGTGAGTTTCAAATTTTGCACTCTACAAGAATCTCAAAATAAATTAGGTGTGAATGCAAGAAATAAATTAACACTCAATGAGTTTATTAAAACTTTGATGGAAGGGAGGGAGGAAGTAGGATGAAATTTTACAAAAATTAAAAAATGAAAATTATACAATAGGAAAAGAACATTAAATACGCCTTTGCAAAAAGTAGAATATAATTATTGTATTGATAGCGATTTAAATTTACTTACTAATGAATTTGAATCTACGTCTAATTTAATTAGCACTAAATAGGTAGTCCCAATCTATCCATTTAAAAGCCAACAATTAATGGGTTCAATTAGATTACCCATTTGAAACTAATAAATTGTATACCCATACTCATTTGTTGAAGATCGAGTTAAAAATTGGTCACTATTTATAACTATAAATGGGTGGAAAGAATAGTAAAATAGGAGGTAAATAGGTTGCTAGATTGGGTAAGAGATTGCGCAATTTGATAGAATGAAGGTAGGGTAAAGGGAAGGTAGATTTTGTGAAAGAGAGAAGAGTTGGAGCGACGTGGGAAGTTGGGTTAAGAAGGTCAGGAAGATGGTAATGAGGAGTAGGGGACTGTTGTGGGAAAGTAGTGTAAAAAGAGAGAACATGAAAAGGAGAGATAACAATGTTGTACTTGGTGTGCTTTTAGTATTTCTCTAAGTATTTTTATGATCTTTGCTCATATTTTAATATACTTTAAGATGTTAGATAAGGTACATAAATACAATATAAATTTGGTACTAAAATAGCACTCTTTAATTTTTTTTAACTTTTTTTATGTAACTAATATAAATAATTCATTTACTATTATTATTATATTAAACGCAAATCCGTGCTACGGGTTACAATACTAGTTAAGTATTAACCCTTAGATTACAAACACAACTGTGCATCAGAAATGGGATTCACTGCAGATATTGTTGCCTTCTGTTCCTCTACAACAGCACACAAAAACTTCCAATATTTCGTAGGCAGCTGTTATTGATAGTATTGTTGAGTTCCCACCATTATCACCATTGCCAACGTCAAGTATTAATCAAGCCAATTATTTTCAAGCATTGGAAAAGGTGAGTCCAATTGAAGTTGATAATGCTGCAAAAGAAACTAACATGAGGGTTAAAAGATCTATCAGAATCTTAACAGGGAACAAAGACCCTAAGAGGAAAAGTAGGGGTGGTGGTTCTTTTCCTGTTTCTTCATGAATATAGCTTGTTGGAATATTAGGGGTCTTAATAACCCTGTTAAACAATCTAAAATTAGGAAATTAATAGCTAGTCATATTATACATGTATTTGGTGTTGTTGAAACTAAAGTCAGGAGATGCAATTTTGATCATGTGTTCCAAGCCACTTTTCCCAATTGGAGTTGTATACATAATACATCGTCTAATAGAACTAGAAGAATTTGGTTTTGTTGGAATCTTGTTACTGTCCAGATTACTGGTCTAAAAATTTCTGGCCAAGCTATTAGCTGTTTTGTGAAGCATTTTGGTTGGAATAAGAGTTTTGCTCTAACTATGGTCTATGGTACTAATGATTTAGAAAGTAGAAGATTACTGTGGCACCACTTGCATGTGGTTCGATCTATAATTGGGAATGAGCCTTGGTTATTGTTGGGTGATTTCAATGTGATCCGATATTGCACTGAGAAAGTTGGTGGAGATGGATTTGATTATGGTGCTATCACTGAATTTCAAGAATGTATTGAGAACCTTGTTATTAGTGACTGTCCATCCAAAGGATATCAAGTTACCTGGTGCAATAAACGAGATGGTGATGAGAGAATCTTTTGTAAGTTAGATAGAATAATGAGCAATGATGCATGGTTTTCTATTTTTCCTACTTGTGACGTTGAAGGTTTGGATCCAACTATTTTAGACCATACTCCTCTGTTTATTCATGTTGAGGATGATTTTAATGTTGGCCCTAAGCCATTCAAATTTCATTCCTATTGGATGGTTCAAGGACAATTTCACTTGTTGGGGGAGAAACGTCTCAGGAGAACCTAATTCTGACGTAAAAGTTTAAACTATTAGGTTTCAAATCCTTACTTATATATTAAGTGCTCTTTCTTCATCTCTCGAATCAATGTGAAACATAATCCTTTATTCATGAATCTAACACATTACACTCAGTAGAACTTTGTATCTCAAGTAAGAAGGATCACATTTCCAGCCATTGTGTTTCACTTGTGGTGGAGCAGGAATCAATAAGTGTTTAAGAAAATATTGCATTCTCCTGAATATATTGTTCATATGATTCTTAAGGATGTTCAAGGCCTAGTGATAGGATGGAAAAAAGTGGATAGAAATCAAGAAAATTTACAACTATGTGCTGAACTTGATATTCCTTTACTTTATTGATGACACTGTATAGATTTGTAGTATACATTACAAGTTTCTTTTCTTGATTTGATGTATTTGACTAAGGGACAATTCCTTCTATAGTGTACATTTTTCTCTGGATCAATAAAAGATTAGGAATTAACAAAAAGAAAAATCCCTTAGATTACAAATGACTCTGATTTGAAGGTTGAAACTTTATTGCCTTTCATTCTTCTCAAAATGAGACACGGGTGGACGTTGGCCTAATATGGGGTCAAAAAGATTTTGAGAATTACTTTATATAAGTTCGATATATAGAGAGTTACCTCTAACTTTTTTTTTCTCAGACAGAAAGATCTTTAAATTTGGCTGATTATGTTCACAGGACGGAATATGGTGGATTTGTTTGGGAAAAATAATACTAAATTTTGCTATTCGGCCTTGTCCCCAATTTTGATTAATTTTCATTCCCCTGGTTCTTGGGCACCATGTTCATTTACTTGTTTCTTGAGTGTTGACTCAAGAGTTTGTGTGGTTAATATGAGTAATAAATAGAGCTGCTTCCCTAAGCCTCTACTGGATTCATCAAATTAGAAAGAACAAACATCCAAATCCCAGGCCATAACACCCTCTTCTAAGCGACTACTAGAATGGAGTAAAATCAGGCTATAGGTTAGGGCTGGCTGGCCGTCTATCTGCTCCTGTTAGTGCTCCACTGCTAGAGAGTGGATGCATACTATCTCTACATTGACTGAGGTGTACCATATCCATTAATATGTGCCTTCTGCCATCTCCATGCTACCCGCAAACTCTCCTGAAGATCGGTGTATTTTGTTGTCCATTTTAGTTCTGTCCTAATTTTGGTTGGATCACTGTAAACTTCAGCATAATCACCAGGCCAACGGGGAAGGTAGTCGTCGACCTTGAGAGGTACTCCTGTGGCCTCTTGCAGGCCTCCACAAACTCCTTTACAGATCAACCTGAAATAGAAAAATATGATCCGCATAAGAAACGGCTAATATGGTCAATTAAAACAAGAAATGTCTTACCTCTCCCTATTCCAACATTGTAAATTCCAACTTTCCCAGGCTCTGCCTTCTCAAGGGCTTTGACATGAACATCAACAAGATCAGTGACATCAATATAATCCCGGATACAAGTTCCATCTTCAGTCTTGTAGTCTGTTCCTCTCACATATAGCACATAGTAATTTAACCAAAATAAACCCACGAAAAGACACAATAAGGGTACCAACGAGTCAAATCAAGTTCAAATACTAATATATTTGAGCTTGAGCTTGAAGATATTTATCCTAACTCAAACTCGAAGTTGACAAATATTTATTTGGGAAAGGGTGCCAACATTGATGCTCTTATATAAGGGCCGTCTAGACTTTATATTAAAATATAAATATTACACTGTCCCCACATTTGGTACATAGTAATGGCCTAAAAAGGAAAGGGGTTTCTAATTTGTCCATTCTATTCCAAGTTTGATATAGATTATTTAAGTGAAAAAGTTCTTTTCCTCTGAACTATTGTTTTTTTTTAGTAGAATCCCCAAAATTGAAAAAAAATATCTAGGAAAAACTCCTTCCAACTTTATTACAAAATATCCAAAACGGTAGGATGTCAAATTTATTCTTATAAATATTTTTTTTCTACCTCATCATATCGTAGGATATTTGTGAGCTCAATTAGTAATTGAATGTATTTTTTATAATAAATTATTTTTCTTGTGTTAAAATAAAATTTTCTTTCTTACTAGCAAACATATGTTTTAAAATACTTTATTCTTTGACTTTGAATAATTGTGTGAAATTTTTTTTTGAATTTCATATAAAAAATAAGAGCATTATAAAAAATTAAAATTTTATCATATTTGTTTTGATTCATGTAATTTACATTGCTAATTATATATCTTGCGGATGCAAAACTATAACATAAAAATCTATAGGCCACAATGAATCAAATATTACAATTGAAAAATTTGAGTACCAATCCTCAATTATTCTAAAAGCAAAAAATGACTAAATTTCACATAAATAAACCAGTAACATAGTAGAACAAATAAAGCAAAAGTAATAAAAATGGTATGTTCTATAAATAAATCCAGAATAATTAACTCAAGTTTGTATTAATTGTATTTTATTCTGGCATCTAAATCTTGATTATATCAAACACGGAAAAATGAAAGAACAATCTACTCTATTAGTATACTAGACATTGAAATAAATAAAAACAATAATCTTCCTACCATTTTTAGATATCGTAACCAAAACCTATTCATTATATCAAACACCGGAATCAGAAGGTTCAATGGACAATCTAGGAATATTATTTTAAGACTTGACAGTCAACTTCATTGACTAACGTCAATGAACCAAGGTCAAGTATACATTCCTCTGTAAATAGGATTGACTTTTCCTTAACCTCGAGTGCAGCAACCCCGTTTTCGAAACTTTCCTAATATCTTTCCTAACCGTTTCTTTTGTGGATTCTCCCTTAGGAAAATCTGTTCCTATATATTACCTCTTTCTCGATTCAAGAATTTAACTTACCTAGCCCATTCGCCTCTTTTAACAGAAGACAAGAAAATATACAGAGTGATAGATAAATGGCTGACAACATTCCTATAGGGTTTCGTTTTAGACCCAGTGAGGAAGAACTGATCTCCCTACTTTGGCTGAAGGTTACAAACCAGCTTGATGAAACGGACCATGTGAAGGAGAAAATACTTTACGGCGAAGGTGCAGAACCGTGGGATGTTTTGGGGGATGATGATGTTCGTTGGCAATTCTGTGATAATAGCGGAAAAGGGGCTAGTACGAAAAGAATGGTCTATGTCTTTACCAAGTTGAGGAAATTGAGCGCCAAGAAAACTGCGAGAACGGCTGGTTTGGGGACGTGGGACGGAGAAACGAAGTCGTACCCAGTTGAGGGTATGATTACTGGTGAGAAAATTGGGTCAAGGAAGATGCTAAGTTATGTTCTGAATTCTGGTTCAATAGGGGTGAAAGGTGGCTGGATAATGCACGAGTATTCGCTGGATGGTGCATCATTGAATGGGTTAAACAGCAGTCATAATACTGATTATGTTCTTTGTAGGATAATAAAGGATGATTCTAAGTATACCAAAGTCAAAGAATCTGCAAAGAAAGGAAAGGTTGCCAAAGAAAAGGAGGTTGGAAACCGCGGATGCCGTGAAGTTGTCCTGGGCAAGGGAAAGATGAATCTTGAACAAGAAAGTTCACAAGCGAGTAAGAAGTCATGTAACAATCCAATGGATGAGTTGCCTAATTTGGTTAATTGTGAGTATGATGGATACACAAGAAGCCTACAAACATATACAGGTTTGTTGGATGATGTTGTGCAGCCAATCATCTGTTGGAATGGCGACCCTTACTTGGGATCAGTTCCTGATATGGTGCACTGTTCCCTTAGAAATTAATTTTGTAGTGGCTTACATTCAAAAAGAAAAAAACTGTAGTTAAATATTTGATTTTGTAGTTTTGGATACTAAATTTATTAGTAGTGGGCTGCGTGTGTGTGATGATCACATAAAACAAGATGGGTGGATTTTCAAGAATAAAGCAACATGATCTTGTAGAATTTGATTTTATCGTTTTAGCAACTTACTATACCAGCAACAAGATGGATTCCATAAAAGGGTGAACAGTTGTATCGAAAAAGCTGAAGTGGAGTTTATGTGATTGTGATGCTTAGAAAATGCAAAAAGCAACGATTTTCAACTGTAGAAAGTACATAATCTTTTCAGCTTGAAAGGAACTAGCAATCCATCAGCAAAGTAAATGTTGCAAGTTATCTGGTACTCGCCTCTAACTCTAAAAGTCAATTGTCCAAAATAGTTGGTTTCACAGCAAAATCTGTCAAATCTGTAATGAAGCCAATGAAACAAGTGAATTTGATGCTATTTATTTCTGTCATTTTTCCTTTTTTTTTTTAAATTTCTTCCAAAGAATTACAATAATTAGAAATGCAATATTACCCTTTCTGCTTCTTCAAGGTTTTGAACATCATCTTCAACACAGCTGGAAGAATGTGAGGGGAGAAGCCAACTTTTAGTGGATAAAAGCACCTGCAACATCTTTGAACCCTTTCCACTAAATGAATCACGAATATAACCTGCTCTGCTAAATTTAGATTCCAGAGCAGCTCTGGAGACGGGAACAACTAACAGATCATGAGCCATATTTGAGAGAATGGGGAACCTATGATTATTGCCCTTCCACCAACCCAAAACATCAAAATAATCCCAATCTTGTTCAGTAGGTTCATCCAGATACCTCTCCAAATCTGATTTTCCATCAGCAAAAGCAGCAAGAGCTTCCTCCCTTCTCTTTTGAATCAGATACTTCTTAAAGTCACTGGGAAAAGATCTTGCACCTGATTCAGGTTCTTTCTCGCTAGAAGATGACTTTTCAGGTACATATAATCTTTTATATTCATCAAACAAGGTAAAAGCAGCCTCTCTCGCAATTTCTCCCATTTCTGGAGTCAAATGTAATTCTGAAGGTAAAGATTCAAGAATTTCCAGCTTGTATCGAGGATCAAGGATAAGGGCAAGGTAGATTACCAAATTCATCTCTTTATATTTTCCCCAATAGTTTGTATATTTTTCCCTCAATCTCCTAGCCATCGAACTGATGCCCATTTCAGTACTGTCTTGCCATTCACTCAAGAGATGATGAACCTCAAACAACCGAGCAAAGATTGTGTTTGTTGTGACATGTCTAGAGCATGAAAGATGCAATGTTAGCCCATACAGGTGCCTCAATATCTGGATAAACCACTCGACCTTTTGCCAATCATCTCTGTTAGGCATACCAGCACCCCTAGTTTCACTTTTACAATGAGGATCTGATTCCTGAAACTTCTCAAAGGCTTTTTGGAGCTTTTGGGCTGTATCCAACATAAAAAAGGTGGAGATCCAGTTGGTGGGGACATCCATGCATAGCATTCTCTTGTTGCCTATTTTCTCTAATTCCACACATTCTTTAAACTTTATCAACCTAGCAGGAGAAAGCACAATAGAGTGGACCATTTCCCGAATGCGAGCAACTGATTCACCTATTTCTTGCAAGCTGTCAGAAGCCATAATTTTGATCACATTATCAATGTATCTTAGATGAAGATACTTGCCACCAAGCAAACTGTTCTCTGAATTAGAGAATCTTGTTTTCAAGTTATGAATGGCAACATCATTTGACTGCGAGTCCTCCACAGTTATAGCAAATATCTTATCTATTCCCCAATCAAGTAAGCACTTCTCAACTGCCTTTCCTATGGCCCCTGCACTATGATCAGATATCGGACAAAACTCTAACACATTTTTTTGCAGTTTCCATTTGGAATCTAGAAAATGGGCTTTGACACATAAATAAGTAGTTTCCTGCTCAGATGTCCATGCATCCACAGAAAGACTAACCCTTTTATTACACAAGATGCTCTTTAACTTTGTCTTCTCCTCCTCAAAAAGTTCATAGCAGTCCCGATTAACCGTCGAACACGATGGTATCCGAAAAGAAGGACATGCCAGGGACATGAAAATCCTAAACTTTTCCCTCTGAACATCGCTTGGAGTCTGTTCATCACAAATTAAGCTACGAGCAAGAGCTTTCCTACTATCTTTCCGACTAAATACAAACTTATCAGGATCTTGATTATCCCGAGCAGTCCACACAAAAGTTCTTATCAAGTGGTCCTTCATGATGTTAGGAATGGAATAAATATAATCTTCAAAACTTGAATTAACAACTCCTCACTAAGAGCTCGCCCAATATTCGGTAAAGGTAAAAATGGGGAAATAATTATTAACCAAAAACAGAACTTTTCTTAATGAACATTTTCCAGCAAATGCAAGGGAACTAGAGGGTATAGAGTAAAAGTGGCTAAGAAATGAAACACAAGAAAAGAAAACAAGAAGAATGATAATAATGGTAGTATATAATGGGACAAAACGCAAACGGGGCAAAAAAAAAAAAAAAGGCAAGCTCAACCCACAATGCAGTTCAATTGAAAGAAGGGGAAAAAAAATCTTGAAGGGGATAAAAGGGCTTACAGTTGAGAGCAAGAGGCTGCATCATGATCATGGAACTTTGGCTTTTCCCCGAGATGAGGAGGAGATGGTTATTTGGTTGTGAGGTAAAATGTGATAGTCATTCTTGATTGAAGAACCTTAGTGGAACATAAAGATCTGAAGACCAAAGGATAGGTTCTACCTCTCGCTTTAGCACCGATTCTTTAGTCTGTGAAACAGAGAAGAGGAGAGGAGACTGGAGATTTGAGTTTTTTTTTTTTTTTTAAATTTCCCGCGTTTCCTATTTCGTGCTTCCCGCTCTCACCATGAAATCTACACTACATATACGTATAAAGGGCGGGGGCTTTTGGTATACGTAAAAATTTGTAACGTTATATATTTTTAAATTATCTTGGATAACAATCTATTACAAATATAGCTTTCTATTAAGTAATATGTATTTTTTCTGATTTCATTTTTCAACTTATTAGGTAAATCTTAATGTTTATTAGCAACTACCAATTATGTTTACGAATTACGATTACTAGTATATAACTATTTTTTATACACTTGATAAATTCTCTACATATGTATCATCAAAATATAAAACTAATTTTTTAAGAAATAATTTCAATAAATGTACCCAAAAAATTTTACAAATATTTTTCCTATTACTTGCACACACATCAATATGTGCCTTGAACACTAATATAGTTTATGTATTCACATTATATGAAATTTTATCTCCAAAGTATGATTATTATATGAATTTTTTATAGTTAATAATTTTGTTAAACAAATACAAGTTTGACAAAAATAATTATGCGTGATTAATATGGATATGCTTAAAAATATTGGCTGATTTGGTATGCATTTTAGATGTTATGCTATATTAATATTAGTCTTTACTTATAATTTTTTGGGTGAAAATAAATCTAGTTATAATTTTATCAAATTATTGACATTATATACTCACAAAAGAGTACCACATAAGTTTTTTTTCTTTTAATTTTTTTCAACAAGATAAGGATAGGATTTAAGAATCACATGAGCGGAATGGAGATGCACTAATCTCGCATTCAATGATCCACTTGCAATTAATATATCTAGGTTACAGAGTGAACTAATAAACGAACGAATTTGTATGAACTAAGATATAAAGAGATAAATTACAACATGCCATGTGTGAAGCCAAAATCCAACCACCTTTCAATTCTGCTTCTTAGATAATGTGCCGTATGCATGCTGCTTCATTACATTAATTAATAATATCTTTGAACGGCATAATGTGGTAGATTATGAATTTTAACTTTCTTTTATATTAAAAATGTATAACTTAAATGCAAAACAAATAAGAACACAAAATAAATGATTATCCAAGAAATGAATGAATTTGTGTGAACAAATTACACCAAAAAAAAAAGTATTTGTGTGATCTAAGATACAAATAGTTAATTTCCAACTATGCATATAGATTTTTAAGTAGTTATCAGCTCAATAGTTAAACAACTCAAGTATATTGATAAATTCCAGTTCTTAGTTTATGGCACACACAAACATTAATGCCAGATTGCCACACCACTTTTATTTATACACCAAGGCTTTCCTAATAAACTAAAGTTAAATTCGATTTGTCAAAGGAAACAAAATAGAGTTGGTCACGGACAATCAACTCGATCCGGACTCCGACACAACTATTAACCGCCCAAACATTTAGAAACAATTAATTTAGCAACTAACAAATAATAAAATTCTCACTTAAAAAAATAAAAAGGCTTTTCTAACGGATGCCACGTGAGCACTCGTTAGCAAATCTATATACTAATTAACCTATCATGTATATACATACACTAACAAATATTACTTTTTCTTACATTTATACACTTTCCTTAATTAATCCATGCATTTTTATGTTTTCCGTAATTAGTTTTATATTTCTAAAATTCAACACCTGAAATACATCTTAACGGATGTCCAGGCAGGCCGAAAATAAAATACTTGATTTAGCTCCTGCATTGCCTTCATTCTGGAAACAGTTGATCCTCTATAATGTCAAGAAGATGAGAAAACTGAAAATTTTTGTTAATTAAAGGACTGTTGGTTGACTTTTACTTCTATTGCTATATAAAAGATGAGTAAATTTATGTTGACCACTGAGCAAGTATTTAGTCGATTATTGGATTGACCAAGTTTGAATTATCATGGACATGGAGTAATGTACATATTGGATATTTTCCATAGCCAAAAGATGAACCTCTTCATAGATATTTGGGAGGCAAGGATACCTTATTACCACCTTCTCCTATTGGGCTTAATCAATTAGTGCACATTATTGCTGGTTCTTGAAAAGTGCAATAAGCCCCAAACTTTTTTTCCCCTTCTCCAAAATTAAAAAAAAAATTAGGCTTGAA